AAGGATGGAATGCCTATGACAAGGGGACAAGGGGACTTCTCCTTACCCTGCGCCGATCTTGATTGTCCCCGGGCATTCGCCTGAACCCGACTTTTTGTGCCGAACAAAGATCTCCAGCATAAGCTGAAAAAACAAGTCAACTGGTACAAAACGCCATGAACTGGTGGAAGCTTTGTGGGCACAAAGCGGAAGTCACGAACTGGAAATCAGGAAGCCCCAAGTAAGACACCTTCATTAATGAGCTTGATTTACCACCAGGTGAGCTCATCTTAAGTTGCCCAAATACATTGTTCTATCCATAATATAAATAGTAGACACAATATATATCTACATATACATACCATCTCTCACTCTCACTCTCTCTCTGTCTCTAGATATAACAGCACACGACAATACCCTCAACGTATTCTGGGCGTCCCAAATTTGTGGTTCAGCCGTGGTATAGAACCACTTTTCTGCGGGCGCATGGTTTTGCAGCACTCCAAAGACCAAAGTGACGCTGCCGTTCGGTTGGAAGTTCTGTGCCTCGAAGAAATCGAGACCAACGTGGGAATGTTGGCGCCGGAAGTAGAAGCTACAAGTCAACAGTGTGCAACCCCTCAGCAGCGATCCGGGGTCCTAATAAAATGGGACCCCCCCCCAATCAAAATGAGCAGGTCGATCAATCCTGAGGCGACATTCTACTGCATGTTCTGAAATGTTTGGCAGTGGAAACTTGGGAACTATCCCCGTTTTCATGGCCGTTCCGAACCGGCTCGCACGCCTCTTTCCACCAAGAAAGAAACACACCAACGCACCCGACTACAATGGTCTTCCCAAACTGAGAAAAGACCTGAGTCCATAATCACCTGTTGCCATTGAACCAGGTGATCCAATCCACCAAGTTTGTACAAACAAGATTGGTGTCGTTGATTGATCCAAGTTTGTAGAAGATTGGTGTCGTTGCACATTCAACCAACAAGATCACTACAAGATGTCGTTGTACATACCAAGCAAACCAGATCACAATCCACCAAGGCTTGGTGCGCCTGGCGCCTTCCGCCTTCCGCCCGATACAAAAGCCCCGGGTTTCCGGGCGCAGTCATCAAAGGACCGGGGCGCGGAGTCCACCAAGTCGTAGCTGGGCGGTTTGGGCGGTTTGGGCTCTGAGCTTTCGTTTTTTGGCCTAGGTTCAGGGAGAAAAGTTGGGATGAAAGCCAAAATCAGAGAGGTGTAGAGCGTAGGTATCTGGTTGTTGTACTGGATACCCCGGCAAAACCAAAAGGCGAGAAGTATATAATGTGATCTTCGGATAAATCTGGAGGACAATACTCTAATCAGGTGTGGTTGTCTTTGTGTAGGAATATGATCTATTTTCGGGGGGTTCCTGGGGTCGAGGGTTTCCTGCCTAAGACTGGAGATTTAAGTCATAAGACTGAGGCAGGCTTCCCCGTCTTTTGGATACTCCGTATGAATGGCTTGTGAAAGTAGACACTATGAATTGCGATCCGGTCTCTCCGCAATCTCCCGCGATCCAGTGGACAAGCAACTTGAAGAGTACACCAGTGCGAAACACACAACACACACACACACAAAGAGCACATGCAGCACAAGCTGAATGCCGGTGACATGAGACTCCATTTACACATACATACACATAAATAGATAAATTCAATTATATACATATATATGTATATATACATATACATATATATATATATACATATATATATATACATATATATATATACATATATATATATATATGGTACCCCCCCCCCAGGGACCTACCTTTTTGATGAGTTCACTGGTATTTGCAGTGTTTTCTACCCTTTTTTGGGCTTTGGGGAGAGCAATGAAAAAGAAGCATTTCCAAGGACGTTCTGGAAGCTTCAGGCTTGATTGAAACCGATTTAAACCGATTTGATTTAAATCGGGCATGGATTCAAGATTCAAGATTCAAAAATCCAGGCCAAACTTTTCCAGGGATTCTTGAATCCAGGCGTCGATTTAAACCGATTTAAACCGATTTAACTTAAACCGGGCATGGATTCAAGATTCAAGAATCCAGGCCAAACTTTTCCAGGGAGTCTTGAATCTTGAATCTTGAATCCATGCCCGATTTAAGTCAAATCGGTTTAAATCGGTTTAAATCGACGCCTGGATTCAAGAACCCCTGGAAAAGTGTGGCCTGGATTCTTGAATCTTGAATCTTGAATCCATGCCCGATTTAAACTTGAATCGGTTTAAATCGGTTTAAATCGAGACCCAAATGAAAAAAATGCACTTTGCGCGGCTGTACTTTAGCACAGTGTTGTGCAAGCATCCAAGTCCTGATTATTCATTCAATCTGTTTCAATCTAGGCCCACATTCAAGATTGCAGGTCACAGTTTTCTAGGGAATCTTGAACCCAGGCTCAACTGAAATTTCAGTCGGTCTCAATGGGTTTCACTCGGGCCTGGACTCGCGTTTGCAAAGAAGACTTGTCTAGAGAATATGGGTTCTTTCCTTATCAAATCCTGTCAAAGCTCATATTGAATTGCAAAATATATTGGGAAAGGAACTCTATTTAAACTCGCAATCTCAAATTTGATTACCATTAGGATTCTGACCAAATATTTCCGTATTGAGTCCCAATTAAATCCTGTTCAAGTTCAAATGAGCATTTAGAGAGCGTTCGTTGGTGGAGATGTGAATTGAGTATGAAAAACGCTACACAACACTGTGTTTTACGGTGTTTTCTGGCCAAGGTAGTGTTAGGACTAGTGAAAGACACAAGTTTGGGACCTTTGGATTCTTTCCTTATGCATTCCACTTAGTATGTTTTATCAAATTCAACCTTATTTCTGATTGAAATTCAATGGAGCTTAAGAAGGACATACTCCAGCCAAAATTGCGATTTAGATTCGAACTTAAATATTGACTGTTTATGTCAAATTAAATGGTACAAACTATTTTCTGTCCAATAGACCATTGTACATTGAAATTCAATCACTTGCAGAACTAGCTAGTCCTAGTTTGGTCCTAGTCCTAGTTGGGAGATCCTTGGTTATAGGCCAAGTATGGTCCCAGCGTACTGAAATACATAGAACGTATAAAGGACATTACAAAGGAAGTTCGTTATGAATTGTAGTTAATATATTAGTCAAATTCTATGCAACTTTTAGCTGAACAATTGAAATTGAAATAAGGAGAATATCCAGTCAGAATTTTCATGTTAGGACCAAATATTAAACAGGACGTTTTTTCCACCAGAATGTATTACTTGACATCCAAATACTATAAGAAGTAGAATTAAATGGTCTAGTCCTAGTTTGGTCCTAGATGAGAGATCCTTGGTTCCAGTGTTAGGTTGCTCCCTAGTTTACTGCAACAATTAGAACATATACAGGACATTGCAGAGGAAGTTATACTTGAAGTTCATTTTTTGTAAGAATCTGAGGTGGGTCGTCTAGTCCTAGTTTGGTCCTAGTCCCAGTTCAGAGATCCTGGGTTCTAGTCTCATTTGGTCCTGGTCCTAGTTGAGAGATCGTTCCTCCCAGTCCTAGATGGGCAATTCATGCACTGGAGAGGCAGCCAAAAGGTAGGTCCCTGGGGGGGGGGGGTAGCATATGTATATATATATATATATATGTATATATTCCCAACTCTTGAAGCAACACTAGCACACAAACACTCCCAACAAACACATCCTCACCCGATGGAATTCACATGGCCAAGCAACTGAAGGTCGCGGCGATTGACACACCTGGCCCCATTCTTTCACTATGCAAGTGCCCCTAAGCCAAACAAACTGCCCCAGTGTCTGACTGGGAGAACCCCCCAGAAACAGACTCAAAATCATGACCCGCAGGGGGCCGGTTGCTTTCGTAACCCAAGTTGACTCACCGCTTCGGGATACTTCGCTGCGAGGATCCGAAACCTGCAACTCGGTTCCAAACCTCAAGTCCTTTGGCAGCCAGGACGCCAGGAAATGGGATTTCCAAACCGCCGCTTGCCGCGTTGGCTGTGGTTGTCAAAACCCATTTTGGTTGGTAGGTGAATTCACCACCCAGTGGGGATTGGGATGTTCACTGGGGGTACGATTTGGATTTTGACCCATGGCCAGTTGATTTCCCTTAGTTGTTGATGGTTTCTTTGACGAGCCGGGAAGTGTCGCCATTTGATCGCACCCGTCCTGACTGATCCAGCACTGAGGATCCGCGCATTGCGTAGCCCTGTGCCTCACCTGCAGGTTAAAAGGTGCCGACCCCAAAACAAACCCTGAAAAGGTCAAAAAAGGGCAGAGGCCCACAAGGATGAGGGGGCTTCTCAAATAGTGACCACACAAATTGGCAAGGTTTCCCTTTGGGTGGTCCCAGCAACAAACAGGGGGTAGAGGCCCCCCCTCCAAAAGTGGCAGGAATGGGGACACACCCAATCAACATCAACCTAAAGGTTTATTAATCCAGGTTCCCATTATCCTTAATCCCTGGCTGAAACGGCAAAGGGGGGCCAATCCTTTCTTGGTAGCCATTGGAATTAAACCCAAGCTGCAGGGGAAGGAGGAGGAGAAGGATGCATGAGATGTTTGGTTTTCGCTGGGAAATGTGATGAATGGAAGCCGAGAACACGGCAAATACGAGCGGGCAGAAATCAACCAAATGCTGTGTCCAGTTTGATGTCGACTGCAACTGGCCACTTTGCCAGGACTTGGTCAACGTGAAACATCCAAAATCTTATGGACACATCTGTTCTACCGCCCGCATTTTAGCCAAGGGCTAGAGCTAGGGGAGACCAAGAGCTTAGGAGACCATCAGGTTAAAAGGACGATTAGCTTTAGGCAAGGCTGCAAGATCAAACGATGATCCATTGGCTAGATGCACAGTTCAGCCAGAACTGGCTGGCTTTAGGCAGGCTTGTGTGAGGAGTGTCTTCCCCTGTGGTGTTTCTTGCCAGCCCCCAAATTGTTAACCCTAACAAGGGGGCACTACATGTTCCAAACCCATTTGCAACAATGGCTTGAAGGCATTTTGTGTGTTGAGCCTAGCTGCCCCTACTGCAGCTAGCAAAATGGCTTTGATTCTCACCTGGCTTCAAAAGACACTATCCGGTGGACTGTGGATCGAATGAATCCTTATGGCAGGTGTCGGAGGGTCAACCCTCCTGCTCGGTGAAACCGAAATATACACAAGAGGCATCCCGTCCAAAATTGACTGCGCGTATATAATTGTGTTGGACTCTAGAGGCAAAGGCTGTTGTTGTATTTGAACTTCAAGTGTCAACTTTAAACAACAACTCGCTTTTAGACTAGTGGTCCCTCCTCCATGGCGTGCCTTTTCCTTTCAAACCGAGCCCTGAAAGGGAAGCCTCCAAACGCAGGACCTTCCCATGAGCCCAAAAAACCACAACTAGTTCGTACCGAGCACTTAGTTTTGCCCCCAGGCACCGGCGAAGAAAGTCGCATGAAGAGTTCGTGGGGCGAGGGCGCCCCTTCATTTGAGCGCCGACTTTTTTCAGGGTTTCCTTGTCAGCTTGGTTCGACCCAATATTGACACAGTGGTGTTTCTCAAAATGGGGGATCTCGACACTGCTTGGTTTCCTCTTGGCTTCCCTTCAACAACTGTCCAACAGGATCCATTTTCAGACAACCTCACAAATCATAACCGGCCTGAATGATGAGAATGGGTTTCTGGGGTTGCCGCACTTCGCCATGGGAGAAAACGACTCGCCGCTTCTTGAGAGGATTGGCCAGAAGTAGTCTGAACTTATTGGCTGCCAATATGGTCCAAAGCCGAAAAGTGCTTAAAATCCAGAAACCGAAAAGTGCATATTAGCTATTTCGGCTGAAACCGATATTAAACGTAGTTATTTCGGCTTAGTTGTTTGAAACCAATGTGGGTAGCTGAAACCAACAAGTGCATACTAGTCTAGGTCCTCCAGTAGAGAGGTTAGAATAAGGGTACCCTTTTTTCTGTAGTATATTTTTGTAGGGGAACCCTCCCCCAAAAAAGGGTTAAAAGGGCACCCAGCTGGGGGACCCGTTTTCTCCGAGGCACACCCTAGTCACAAACCAAACGCCCGGCCCGGCCTCTTCGGCGCCTCGAACCAGTTCGAGATCGACTGGTTCGATGACTTCAACCCCCCCAGTTCGAGAGGAAAACAAAGGACCTCATTGGGAGGGAAGCGAAAGAGCAAGTCTGGTAATGGAACCAGCACAGAACCGGGATCCCCAAATATGTCCTTCGAAATGGTCACCCCAAAAGCACACTCACTTAAAATTGGCCCAAAGGTGATATTCAGAACTTAGAACCAGTCTTCCAGATACTTTTTGAGGGCTGGGAAAGTCAACAGACAACCACCTTGCCGGTCTAAAGCCTTAAATCCGCCAGAGCAAAATTCCAATCCCAAGCCAACAAGGCCAAGAATTTCTCGAGGCCCGGGCAGGATCGCCAGGCCCACATCCACATTCATGCAGGTGGCTCCCAACCTCCGCGGCGGAGTCCGACTTCGAAGAGGCGCTTTCGACTTCATGGCGAGGGGGGCTGGAAAAGTTTGAGCCCAGGTGGTACGCCCAACAGCCCCGAGAAAAACAAAAAACAAGTCTGGAACTAAGGAACCACGTTTTGCTTTTTTTAAAGGCGATATTGCCCAACAGGGATCAAACGGATTTCCCCCAACATCGGGCACAACAACCCAGCTCCCAGCAAAAGACCTAGTTTCCACCTGCACATCCCACCAATCCGCACGAGGTAAGAATTGGATCCCCAAGCAAAAGAGACCTCCAACTGCACATCCTCCGCATCCTCCCTCCCCCCTCCCCCCTACCCCCTCCCTCTGAAAAGATCCCTATGGCGAGCTCGTTTTTCCCCTCGATCCACGGGCGCCGCCGCGAGCTGAGGTGCTGGCGCTCCCTCCCGGGTGCTGTGGCGCTCCTTGGTTGCGACCAGTGCTGCTTCAATCGGTGGGGGGGGGGGTTCCTCTGGACACGGATCAACAGCGGGTCAGGAGGTTACAAATTGGCACTCCTCTCTCTCTCTTTCTCTGTTTCTCTCCTTCTCTCTTTTTTTGCTGTTTCTCTCTCCCGGTCTGTCTGTGCGACACGAGAGCCAATGCCTGAAACAAGCTGGGGGTGTATCCTTGGACCAGTTCCACCGGCACGAGCGCATTCAAGTACGCATAGCAGACAGAAACCTCACTGGGGGTGTTATGTTTGAGGCCGGTTTCTGGCTTGTTTAAAGGGGTCCCTTCCAAAAAGCACACATCCAAAAACCATTCTGAGGCTTAACCTGGGCCCTGCATTTCTCTTGAAACCACTTAGAAGCAAACGAGCGTTGAAAAAGGCATCGGTCGGGCCTGCCAAAAGGCGATGTCCACATTGCTCTTCTCCTCCAGCAATAGGTCAAAGGCCTGACTTTTTGTGCGGTTTGGCATCCGCCGGTGCGGCAATCGGTGTGCAGCGGGTTGGATGAATATAAAATAATATAAACCTTTGGGAGGCCATGCCGTTTCGCTCTTCCCAGGCCTAAATCAAAGTCACTGGGATCTCCCAATACAACATTTCAGGATGTGCTGAACAAGAAATCCACTCCATCGGTGAGTTTCAGCCAAACAGTGGTAGCCAATGTTCTACCTCACATTCCTCTTCCTCTGTCTATCTCTTCTCCATTCCTTTCTGTTTTGTCTCGCTTCACTCTATCACTCCAGACGGAACAGAGAGACGGAAAGGAGGAGATAGAAAGTGAAGGGTGAATGTGAGGTAGAACATTGAAACTCATGGAGTGGATAGGCCCAAAACAAAAAGTGACCACACGTTCTAGGTGCTAAAATGGTCCACACCCAAAACCGTGACAATGGAGTCCGAAACGTAACTCCGGGAGTGAGGAAAGGGACACCCCGATTAGCGGCGCCGGAGGTCTGGGCCAGCAAGTGGTGCTCAAGTTCAAACGATGCTTGCTCGAAACAACTGCTGCTCCTCCTGCTCCTCCATACCATCATACGGAAGTTATAACCATCATCTATCATCGTTCAGCATCAGCATCAGCATCATCATCATGATCATCATCATCGTCATCATCCTCGTCCTCCTCCTCCTCCTCCTCCTCCTCATCATCATCATGATCATCATCATGATCATCATCTGAGGGTGTAGACACCCACGGGCGGCCTTTACCATCCCTTCTATCGTGGGCCAGCTTCCGTGGGCAAAGGTTCCACAGACCTCATAAAGTCCAAGTTTATTCTAGGTCCTCCAGTAGAGAGGTTGGAATAAGCATGCCCTTTTCTCTGTAGTCTGTTTCAGTAGGGGAACCCTGAACCCTCCCCCAAAAAAGGGGTAAAAGGGCACTTCTGGGGGACCTAGAAACGGTCCAAACCCGGAAAAAATATGCGGTCCAGGAACTTGGGCAGTGACGACAAACCTACGCCAAGACCTAGCAGCTTCCTTCTGCAGAGCTGTTTGTTTCTTGAAAAACGATGGCTGACAAGAATGGAAGGGTAAGCCCTGGACCATTGAGGTCTTTCAGTGGGAATCGCTTTTGGGCACTCAGGCGGCGGCGGCCCCCTCAAAGGAGACTTTGCCCTGCCTCGCCAGCGCCCACGCCTGAGGGCAGCCATGCCTTCTGGCGGACCTACGGATCAATCGGACGACACGCGGGGTGGGATCATTGGGCAAGCCACTGGTTGAAACCCATAATTTCCGCCAATCACCCGATCGAATGGATTGGCCAAAAGGGGAAAACCCAACTTTTGGTTTACTAAAATGGTCCAACCCCCTAAAGTGTTTAGTGGGATTGGAGGTATTCCGGGGGTAGCTGGTAGCTTCCCATAGCTCAGGGAGGGGGTTCAAGGCCCAGGACCAAAGGATGAATCGTCTAGGATAATGTTTTCAGGAGAAATAAGTTGAACACTTTTTTACAGCTGTCCCCGACTTACCAAAAAGAAAGAATAACGCTTCCCAAGGAGCCCTCACTTTGTTGACACATGTACTCACTCCCAACAAACCCCTGGTGACGTGTAAACTAGGTCCTCCAGTAGAGAGGTTAGAATAAGTTGGTACCAACTTTTGTCTGTAGTCTGTTTTAGTAGGGGTTCCCCCTCCCAACCAAAAAAGTTGGTCAGAAAGGGCACGAATTGCTGGGGGACCTAGTAAAAGAAACCGGGGGGGCCGTTTTGGACGCCCACTCCGCCTCCTGCCAGCCACGGTGGACTCGGCAAATCTCCACCTGTGCGAAGTACTCCTCAGCGACGGCCGATGGCTTCCTTCCCATTTGGGGGGGGGTGGAGCCCTGCAGCATGGGTCCGTTGCTGTCTTTTTTGGGTGGGTTTTTTTTTAAGAAAGGAAAGCCACAAGGAGAACACACAATCCATTTTGGGGCCTCCTAAGTACCTGATCGCCCCTTTAAGTATGGGAAGCTGGGGTTGAAAAGGGCTCCAAGACTTCATAGGACCCCCCCCCCCGCTCAACACCGGAAGATCGATCAAAGGCTGAGCTGTTTCAAATTTTGGTCTTGGCCAATCCCAATCCAGAATCGCATTCGGAACATCTACTGAAAGGGGTCCAAGTCCTTTCATATCCCAAAAGCAGAGAGAATAGGAGACTGCCTTTGATGAACAACCCAGTCTAGAGTGGAGTTGCGGCGGGTTCGCACACTGGCTTTCTTGCAGGGCTGGCTTTGAGCTTACAGTCTTGGGGTCAGGGAGCATGGGTTGGTTGAGCTGCTTCATGGACTCACGAGAGGCAGGAGGCAAAGGGGGGCTGAAGGTGAACAAAGAGGGGTTGAATTCAAATTAGAACGTTAAGAAAGAAGAGATGAACGGTGCCAACGTGTCCGATTGAGGCAAGGTCTAGGGACAGTGCTGAGGGAAACGCACACACACACACACACAACACGTACCAACGAGCAAACAAACAGAAACACACACACACACACAAAAACAGAAGCACGCACACAAACAAACATACAAACGCGCACCTACAAACAAACCAGCCCAAACCCAAACAACCATGCAGGCAAGAACGACCAACCAACCAACCAACCA